GGTACATTGCTTCCATTCGCGTTACCAAATACTGACAACATTCGTACATCAGTGATCGATCCTGAAAAAAAAAAAAAAAAAACTGAGATATTTTGCAATTATTCCAGAAAATTAAATCAATGGAGGTCGCTAAAAGCCCAGGAGTCCCAAAAAACATGATTTTGTACGGAGAGAACGCTGATGTTACTGAAATGAAGCCATGCCTGATACTTCAGTCCAATGCTGTTTCCAATCTCTGGCAGGATTTTTATGGACCACTTCTCCACAGCAATGTCTTCTTTTTCTCCAACAGAACTCGTTTAACCCTCCCTCTGCTCTTGTTCCTTTTTTCCCCGTTTCTGGTTCTTTTCAAAAAATCAAAAAAGTGATTCTCAACAACAAACTTTGTCGGCACGTTTGCTCTTCTCTTCGTTGATTACTTCAGCAAAATCAACTCGTTCCGCGTCCACATCATCATCGCCTCCATCGCCACAGTGTACAACAATTGGCTGTGTAGCGCCAACAATTGCCGGATAGCACAGGGCATGTGGTGCCGAGGCTGCAATTCGCTCCAGAATTGTGCACAGCGTATCACGCACACCACGTACCGGATGATTGAGACGTGCGAACAGTTGGGGGAGGATATCTGAAAAGGATGCAATGCTAAAAAATGACTTTAGGAGAGGATGAACTGAAGAAAACAACAGAATTTCTCCAAAATTATCTTAATCGGTTCGATTTATGCTACTGGTTGCTCCTCTCACTGTAGGCAATTCGCATTTTAAAGGTACGATCTATACGACTTAATGGGCTGAATAATCTACGTCATAATTGATTTTACTTATTAAAGTTTGAAGAAAAAATATCAAGAAAAGAAGAAAACAAAGAAAAGGAGGAAAAGGGTGGTAAGATGGGAAAGGTGTCTAAGGAAATACTATATTTCTTGAAGATGCAAACATGCTGCAATTTCATTGCATCCATATTGGGTAGCATTGTTTTACTGTATAAAAATGTGTTCGGTACCCCCTGTTTCCCCCTTCCAGGAGCCTTGTCAGTCTCAGTTTAGTGTCCATTGGCAGGAGCCGGAGAGGCGAGGTAGCACAACAATTGAAAAGTGGGTTGGGAGCTACCCGAGGAAGGAGAGGGCCGGGGGGTGCAGTGACGAAGGAAGAAGGGAAGTTGAAAAATTCCCCTCTCCTCCCAGAAGATCGTCCTGGATCCGCCTATGTGACACAGTAGGAAGTACCGAAGGTCCGACTCAATAAGGAGGAGGATTGGTCCAGAAATGCGTACCAAGCAGATAAATCAGTTGTACTTCCACAGTCCCTTCACTCTCATAAGCCGCAAATCTTAATTTTTTTTTTTTTTTTATTGTACTACTCTTTGCATTGCGATGGGAAAAAGCGTACCTTTCCAGAGCAATTCGTTTGTTTGCAGCATTTCGTTCAAAATCAGATGGCGCAGTGCGTCATGATGCGTTATTAATAAATGCAAAATTCGTAATGTTGCTCGAACCGTTCCAATTGTACCCTGAAATGATAAAAAATATCTCCACACCAGTCCAAAAAAGAACGATAACTGCTCTTCCAGAGTAATACCAAAAGAATGTTATCCCTATTCATTCTGTGATAAAATTTTATCGATGTCACTGGTAGACTTGCCCTGTGTTCTCTCCTTCTTCATCATCATAAATTATTATATTAATCCTGTACAATTTCTTTCAATTAAAGCTCATGGCATGCATATTTTCTTGTTCTTTGAATATTCCGCATGTATTGAACCAATCTCATAAGGGTGAGGAGGAAGCGGCTATCTTCTACAGTTTTCTCATGCGAAATCTGACTCCTTTTAAGATTCTTCCATAAGGCTAATTCGTCGCGTAACCCCTTCCTCGTCCCCTTCTCCCATCTACTCACTCCCTCCATTCTGCCCTTCCTCTCCCACCCCGTCTCCACCTTTCAAATGGCGGTCATTACAAAGGAGTGTAAAATGAAACTAATAAGCTGCAAGGCCTCTCAAAACCAGGGAAATACGCGATAAAACAGTGATACGATTGCAGCTTCAGCCAAAGCAATCACGAAGAGGCAAAAATGTCTGATGTGCTTGAAAAGCAAAAGTTTTGTGTTATAAGAAAAAAGTGCTGCTCGACAAATCAGACGAGTGACGATAGATTTTTATAGCACACAATGAGCAAACCTTATCCATTTGACGTCCACACATAGCGATATAAGTGAAATAAGAACGTGTTGCTGAATTGCAATACGCCAAAAGTCGGGCATTGGCTCCTTTCCAGATGCGAGAAACAACATTGCCCTCACCGAACATTCTAAATGTCAGCACGTGAAATCGAAAGATTATCGAAAGGCTATTGATAAAAAATGAACAAACAAATTAACTATGAAAATAAGAAACTGAAAAAATCGCTCAAATGAATTGATGAAAATCATGCTTGCAAACCAATGAAAATGGCAAAAAAATAAAAATAGTGCCATCGAAAAGATGAAAATATAGAAGAGGATGACAAAAATCACAGTTGCGAAACGAAGAAAATCATACCAGTGAACTGATGAAAATCAGCTTAAGAAACGAACTGATGAGATTCATAAAAAACATCTGGTGAAAAATATATAAAAAATCAAGCTTACGAACTGACGAAAATCATACTAACAAACTGACGAAAATCCACAATAACGTAAAATTATAACAGTGTAATTCCAAAAAGAAAACTTACGCAGCACATGCCCGCTGATCAAGTTTGGTGCCGATGATGGCTTTACAGGTTGGTAAAACATCCGCTTCAATGGATACTTTCTGCACCGCTTGTATCATATTTTCTAGCATCGTGTCTTCGATCGGTAGCCAGGCATTCTTGAAAAAGTAAGTGATTCAAAATTTCACAAAATACCAAGAATATCAGGACAACACGGGCAATCAGTGCGAGCATCCTATATATTAGCAATGTTAGCAGGGTACTCCCAGTAGAGTACTCCTGGGCGCAACTATGCCGAGCCCTTCGATCCTGGACTGCTTATACCTCCAGCAAGTACTCGCAAGCATGTGTGCCATCTGTACGAAACCGTAGCTGATAAAACAGAGAATCACATTTTGGCAAAGATACCTCAATGAAGCCAAAAAATGGTAACGCCTGGGATAACGAATAACAGTTAAAACACCCCGCTAGACCTCCAAACCGCTAAATTCCTGTCAAAATACTGCTGGGAAAGCCACTGGAATCAGTATCCCTCCCAGCAAACGATGGGGAATGTCAGGATTTCCAAAAAGCTGACCACAAAGCGATATAGCAGCAGCGAAGAAAGTAGTCAGGAAATTTGCCAATTGCATAGTTGAAAAATCAAAGTCGAACAAAAAAAAAAAAAGTATAAATATCTCGGATAATGTAAAATACAAAAAAAAAAAGAAATACTTTTATGTAAAATCTGATCATATCACATTCCTCGTCTGCGAACGAAAGTCTCGCTTCACCATGTGCACTGGTGGCAGCGTTGAATGCCCAGTTGCCAAGTTCCAAATGTGCCTTGGCCAGCTGTGGTGCTAGTTTACATGATGTGTTCAAGATTGCACCGGCAAAAGCATCCACTACGCCTGTAATAAAAATGTTTAATACGTCCACCTGGTCAACTTATACTATTAAAAGAGACAATCAAACCCTTTACAACTCGTTAATTAGTTTCAATGGCAAATTGGTACTGGCACGTTCAGAAACGACCACCTACACGAGGCTGGGGAAATAAATGCGCGAAAAGAGCAACTAGACCGCAGAACCTGACAACGAATGTCCTCCTAAAAGATACAGAAGTGAGGGGGAAATTAGTCTAAGCCAAGGATTGTCAAATTTCACGTGTCCGTATGTGAGTGGCAGAACAGCTCGAAAGCTCAGTTTACTTTCACCAGCACTTTAGTGAGTGACTAGTAGAAAT